GGACCGGCCAGCTGCAGGCTCTGGCATAGCCTGGAACGACTGGGTGAGCAGGCAGGCCAGGATCTCTAGGGAGCTCTGTTGGCCATGGACAGAAGCACAGGGCCTGGTACCTCCTATTCCAAGGAGCCACAAAGACAGAGAAGGCCAGGGAGACCCCAGGGCTTGCAGGTAGGTGGTGTGGAGGAGGCCCATGGCCAGACTCTTCTCCTGCTTCCGATATGTAAAGCTCCCTCTCCTCCCCACCTGCACTCACCCTCCCTCTGCATGTGCGGAATTCTTCCTGCCAGGGCCTGGCTTCCACATCAGTCTTCTGTGGACCCTCCTTGCCCCTGGTCTTCTTTGCTATTCTCCATTCTCTGTCACAGTTTGTTCCTTCCAGGGCACTTAGCACAATTTGTCCATGTTGGGCTTTCTAGCTCTTTCCCCACAAAAGTGTCAGTTCCATGAGGGTGGGGACTTCGTCTCATCCCGAGGCATTGCCAGTGCCTAGCACATGATGTATGGCATGCAGTCGGTGCTGAATAACTAAATCAGTGGTCTGGCTGAGCAGCATGACTTCAAGAGCATAGCATATGGACATACAGTATTGTCACCAGGTTAAAGGAGGGATCTACATCCCCCGCAGTAGAGACCAAGAGACTGGGGCCTCGATGTTGCTCTGAAAGACGAGTCACATTAATTGTCATCTCTCCTCCCGCCCAGTACAGAGCACTTGATAATCCACAGTGGATTCAGTCATAAATCCAGCCTGGTTAAAGGACACCCAAGCTTGCACATATAAGGGTCTCTCAGGGGACCCCAGCCAGCTACAGAATATGTGAAGAACAGGCTTCAATGGGCAAAAGCTGCCGTTTCCTTACTTAGCCATACATGTGTCTTTCTAAATAACAGATTTAAATAAGTAAGGCAAACTGTGAAAATCTGTGGTTAAAAATGTAAGGGGTGGGGTGGGAATAGAGAATCTAGCAGATGGTTGCCGTGCCTCCCTCTGTGACAGGTGGGATAGAATCATCTGCATGAGTACATCTCTAAAGGTCTTCTTTTTCATGGGCACATTTATTGGTATACTGTAGAATGAGCCCTGTACATTCAAACAGCAGAGTCAGCCCAGCCCAGAACAGCCCTGGCCGTGCCTCACTTATGACACCACAGCTGCCCCTCACCAAAAAGAGGAAAAGGAGAGAAAATCAGAAATGGCTGGTCAAAAGCGTGGAGGCCTGATGAAGGTGGGGCAGCCAGACTTGAAGCTAGTCCTTGGGTGGCTGAGTCACAGCATCCCACACACACACCACCTCCCACAGCCCCTTGGCCTGTGCATACCTGCTCCCAGCCCATGGCTCACTGGTCACCCTGCTTTCCAACGGCCGGGACCACATGCTGCAGGTGACTCTTGGGAAGACCCCACCTGGGCCACTCATTGATTCTTGTGAAGAGTCTTCTGCCCCCTGCCAGACAGTGCCCTGCTTGGAGGCAGAGATCAGGCGATGTCCTCCAGCATTCCCGTGGCCAGTCATCAGCTGCCCATGCCCAAGGCATTTCCACGGGGCACATCCTGCCACACTTGGGCACATTTCCCAATATGCTCAATCAGTTTGGGGACAGGCTCCATGGGTGGGGTCACTTCTCATTAGCATTTCCCCCTCTGTGGTTCCCACTGTCTGTCATGAGCTGGCCCCCTCATCTGTGAGCGTGGAAGTCTGAAAGCCTGAACTGATCTGCCTGGATGATGGCAGGGGGAACTCTCCTAGGGACAAATCATGACCTCAGGGATGCCTGCCATGTATCTTGCTCATCTGGGCAGGCCCCGCTAAACCCTGTGTGTGCAGAATTGTGTTAAAGCCTTACAACCACTCCAGGAGGTTGTGTCATCATCACCATCCTCAATCTTCATTTAATTTATAAGAAAACCAAGACAGAAAGACCCTGGCCAAGGCCACAGAGTTAGTAATGGTGGGCCAGGATTCAAACTCCACCAGTCCAACCTCATGCTTTCTGCTCTAAACTCTAGCTCGGCTGTGGTGGTATTATATACCCCACCCTGACCTCACCTGGCCCACAGTGTCACACGTACCTGTGTGACGGCCACAGCACAGGCAGGCTCCAGGCAGGAGGCTGCCTCTTGGCAGTGGTGCCTGTGGTCAAGTCACTGCTCCCTGCTGAGCCTCTGGGGTCTAACATGTGGTTTATGACAGGAGCTACCTCCTTGGGGGATTGGGAGAATTAAATATGCTTATCTGTGTTAAGGCTTAGAGCAGTGCCTGGCACTGGAAGCACTCAGTAACATGAATCGTTATCACAGTTATTAATAATATGATTGTTCCCACTAGAACATTCCAGGTCTGTCTGTCTGACTTCGTCTCCTCTCCAGGATGAGACATCTGTGCATTGACTTCCAACATCTCTCTTTTAAACTTATCCCTCCATCTCATTCTTCCACCTTCTCCATTCCTCCTCCTTCCAACTCTGACATGCCATTGACTCTGTTTAATTCAAGCAAATGCTCAGAGCCCCAGATCCCTGAATGCGACAGATTGAGAGGGTGGGGGTGGGGTGGAGAATGGAGGAGCTTGTGTAATAGGACATAAATAAACTTGCACATGCTCTTCTTTTTAATTGCAGATTCTATCCCATCACGGGGCAATTTTTATTTTGCCTTCTCTTGAATAAGTGGGAAGATGTTTTATTCATGTGTATCTTCCCAGGATGCAGCCCAGTAGGTGCTCAATGTGTGCTGAATGAGTCGGTGCATTCGGTTCGGCTCTGGCCAACACATATGCCAGGAGCTGTTGTAAGCGCCTCACATACACCAGCTCATTGAATACTCTGGTGCCATCTTAAAGTCCTGGAGCCGAGCACTCTGAAGTCTGGCTAATAAAGGAAATTTGTTGGTGGCCACCTTCTTGATGGACACACCATTGAATCTCCAGTGTGAGCTTTGTGGCTTCCGGTTCCTCCCCCCTTGCTTGTGGCACTGCTGCCATCTAACATTTAGGAAGAGAGTTTCAGCACAAGCTTCCAGCTGGGTGAATGGTGGGACCTGAGCGATGGTGACAAAGCTGAGCACACACCTCGAGGGACCTCCATCTTTTCCAGTAGGGTTTTATTTGAGCAGTGCCAAGAAATTTCAGACCGCTAGAAACTGCACACCATGGAGGCTTAACACACCATGCCACCACCTGGCCAGACAGGCCAGGGTTCAAATCCCGGTCCCACCACGTAGGGAGGCAATCCCTTGCTGAGCCACAGCATCCTCCTGGGTGGGGCAGGGTGTGCACCTGTGGGGCTGTGGGAAGATTACCCGGCTCACCATGTGACATTTAGCGGGCACCTTCCTCACTCTGACAGCCAGCTGAGCACAGGCCACTAAGGAAAGAAGAATTCGGAGGGAGAGAGAAGAGACCAAAGAACGAAAGAAAGGATGCCTCCTCTAAGAGCAGCCAGGCCGGGTGGGACAGGGTGGTGGGCGGAGGTTGGCCGGGAGGGAGCCATTTACCGGCACAGTCAACAAACAAGGACTGGGAATATAAAGCTCGGCATTGTGCTAAGTGCTGAGGAAGTAAAAAGGAATTTTTATTTCTAATTTATACTCCACCTACTTCCAAAGAGAATTTTGAAGGTGACTCACAGTGAAAACCACATATGCAGCAAGATCACGAAAATAGAAATAGAAAATCAAATCCATGGAGATGAAGAAAGGAAAACCACATTTATTTACCCAGGTGCCAAGTCCTTGAATGCACTCCATCATTGAGTCCAACAGCCCCATTTTACAGATGAGGAAGACAAGCAAAGAGGCATGCCTGTGCCAGGCAACGGTGCAAGCAGGGCTGACCTCACCAACAGGCGCAGGGTCCAGGATACCTTTAGGAGCCCACTAAAATGTTTTAAAATTTCTTTTAATATCAGAAGAGAAAAGAATCTTTAGGTTAAAGAAAATGTTTTAATATATGATATTAATAGATTTGTCTTTATGCCCACACAATTGTAAAATGTATTTAATTATTTTGTGGAGGAAGAAGTCCACAAGTATAAAAGTGCCCGGAGTCCACAGAAGTCATAATGCGGCCCAGGCCACACACTCAGGCCTGCCTAACTCCAAGTCTTGTGCCCTTTCCCCATTTGTGCAAGAACATTTGTTGTCATTGAGTGTAACACACGAGTCAGCTCTGCAGCTAAACAGAGACCACAGTGAGATTAATAATTCTAAGTTTCATAAAAAGGATGTGTAGTGACGTGTAGGGAGGAAACATTTACTCTACAATGCAGTGAGGGGGAAAATGCAATACGATGCAACGATGGGGAAAAATGTAACTTTTACAATTTTCTTTCTTTTTTTTTTTTAGAGATGGCTGTCTCACTGCTGCTCAGGCTGGACTCCTGGGTTCAAATGATCTGCCTGCCTTATCCTCTCGAACAGCTTACATTCCCAAGTAGCATGTGCCACTACACCTGGCTAAATTTTTCTTTATAATGAACATCTTCTTTCTTATCAGTTCCACAGGGAAGCAGGAGGGTAAAATCCTAAATTTTATCCAATTTGGTAAATGTCAAGCTTGATCTGGTAATCAAAATTGTTTTTCATAGATAACTGGACTGACTCAGGTAAATGTCAACCTTCTGAAGACTGCCCTCTCTGGCTGCTGAATCCTAGTGTGGCAGACATTTCTGACCAGAACCTTGCGCAGCTCAGAAGGGAGACTCTTGGGTTCCTGTGGCATCGCCTGGATCTTCACCTCCTGCTTCCTGAGCTCATGACTGCTGTGATGGGATGGCCTCATCTTGCTTTCTGGGGTGCTGTGCCAGGAGCTGTCGCTGGAGCCCATGATCCCTGCCAGCTGTCCTAGTGGTCACTCAGTCTTGTCTCCAGGCCTCTGCCTTTCTGCTGGCTTTCTCAACACCTGCTCAGGTGCTGTCTCAGACTCCCCTACCTCCTACTTCCTGCACTACCTCCACATCTTCATGTGGGTGCTTCTCCTGGACCCAGTCTTCCTGGAGAAGGTTGTCTCTAGCCTTCTGAAGGCCACTCCCTGTGGCCTTCAGACATCTGCTTGCTTTAAAAACTCCCAGCTTGGCAGACGACCAGGTTTGGCTGTGATGCTGCTGCTCGGGCCAGAATGTCATACCCAGGCTATCCCCCAACAGGCTACCCACCTTTCCCTGGATATCCTCCTGCAGGTCAGGAGTCATCTTTTTCCCCTTCTGGTCAGTATCCTTATCCTAGTGGCTTTCCTCCAATGAGAGGAGGTGCCTACCCCCAAGTGCCAAGTGGTGGCTATCCAGGAGCTGGAGGCTACCCTGCGCCTGGAGGTTATCCAGCCCCTGGAGGCTATCCTGGTGCCCCACAGCCATGGGAGCTCCACCCTATCCTGGAGTTCCTCCAGGTCATGGATGTAGAGTCCCACCAGGTGGAGCAGACGTTTCTGGCTATCCACAGCCACCTTCACAGTCTTATGGAGGTGGTCCAGCACAGGTCCCACTACCTGGTGGCTTTCCTGGAGGATAGATGCCTTCTCAGTATCCTGGAGGACAGCCTACTTACCCTAGTCAGCCTGCCACAATGACTCAGGGCACTCAAGGAACTATCCGACCAGGTGCCAACTTCGATGCTATGAGAGATGCAGAAATTCTCCATAAGGCAATGAAGGGTTTTGGGACAGACGAGCAGGCAGTTGTGGATGTGGTGGCCAACCGTTCCAATGATCAGAGGCAAAACATTAAAGCAGCATTTAAGACCTCATATGGCAAGGATTTAATCAAAGATCTCAAATCAGAGTTAAGTGGAAATATGGAAGAACTGATCCTGGCCATATTCATGCCTCCTACATATTATGATGCCTGGAGCTTACGGAAAGCAATGCAGGAACTCTGGAATGTGTGTTGATTGAAATTTTGTGCACAAGAACAAATCAGGAAATCTGAGAAATTGTCAGATGTTATCAGTCAGAATTTGGATGAGACCTTGAAAAGGACATTAGGTCAGATATCTCAGGACATTTTGAATGCTTTCTTGTGTCCATGTGCCAGGGAAATCGTGATGAAAACAGAGTGTAACCCACCAAATGGCTCAGGAAGACGCTGAGCATCTCTATCAAGCTGGCGAGGGGAGATTAGGGACTGATGAATCTTGCTTTAACATGATCCTTGCCACGAGAAGCTTTCCTCAGCTGTGAGCTACCATGGAGGCTTATTCCAGGATGGCTAACTGAGATTTGTTAAGCAGTGTGAGCCGTGAGTTTTCCGGATTGTGGAAAGTGGTTTGAAGACCATCTTGCAGTGTGCCCTGAGCTGCCCTGCCTTCTTTGCTGAGAGGCTCTACTACACTATGAAAGGTGCTGGCACAGATGACTCCACCCTGGTCAGGATTGTGATCACTCAAAGTGAGATTGATCTTGTACAAATAAAACAAATCTTCACTCAGATATATCAGAAGACCCTGGTCACAATGATTGCAAATGACATGAGTGGAGATTACCGAAGACTTCTTCTGGCTATTGTGGGCCAGTAGGAGGGATTTTTTTTTTTTTTTTTAACGAATGAAGCTATGCACAGCTTATCCTTCAGAGCAATGACCTGCATGCAGCAATATCAACCATCAGCTAACCAAAAGAGCTTTCTATTAAGGACCATATCAGGGTAATGTGCTTGGTTTGCACACGTTGTTATTGCCTTAATTCTAATGTCACTTTGTTCTCTACATATAATCAATGTAAAGCCATATCACAATGATACGGTAATATTGCAATGTTTGTAAAGCTTCATTCTTACTAGTTTCATTCTAATCGAGATGTCAAATTGAATGAAAAATCACAGCAATCTCAAAAACAACAACAACAACAAAAAAAAAAAAACCTCCCAACTTGCCAGGTTGTCTCCTGACACATCGGTGGGGAAGGTAATAACGGTAGAGGCAGAGAAGAGCTGTGGCTCCTGAGCTACCTGTTCTCTCTCTATCCTCCTTCCCCTTTTCACAGTCTGTGAGGATAGAAGGGATACGCTTTCCTTCATCATCTAAAATGTAGTCAGCCAGACCTACCTCCTGATGTGCTAAGTGAGGGTCAAAAGAATTTAGTAAACGTTTTCTCTCTCAACATCTAGCTTTCCATCTGAGACTCAAACATTACTCCAATGTACAAGAAAACTACAGAACAATGTTTACAGGATATAAAAATTTATCTAAAAATAATTCCAGAAAGTATCAACCCCATTGCAGACACATGTTAGTTCAACAGGAGAGACTCACTAGACCGATACTTAATTCCAAACATAATATCATCTATGTGTCCTTATGTAGGGAATGTTGAACAACACAATGAACACCATCTCCAATACTTATATGGCAAACTTTCTTCCAATAGCTGCTTGTTCTAGTAACCCTCCATAAAAGCAGGCCAGAGCATTAGGCACTTCTCTGGGGAGAGGGGCTGATCCTGGAGAATCTATTTGTGCTGTATCTGGTGTTCTCCCATCTGGACACAGCTTAGACACCCCAGATCAACAGCATAGCATAGCATGTGTCGCATCTTTCAGCCAGAGCTAGGAGGTGGGAGCAAAGGCACAGTCCATCACTCTCATCCTGGAGGAGGGCAGAGAGAATTTCAAAAAGGGATATGGGCACCGCCAACCTCTTGGCCATCACAGTTTTTATGACGATTAGTCATGATTCAAAATATGAACCAGAAATGGCTTGGGAGTTTGAGGAGGAATGGGGTTTTGAGAGGAAATGACTCAATAAATATGGATTGTTGGAGCAGAGATCAGACTCCAAGATCTTCTACACTCAGGCTAGAGAGACGCAACTATCAGAAGTCTGAATATGGCTGGGTGGTTCATGCCCCAAATCCCAACACTTTGGGAGGTTGAGATGGGAAGATCGCTTGAACCCACGAGTTTGAAACCAGCTTGGGCAACATGGTGAAACCTTGTTTGTATGAAAAATACAAAAATTAGCCAGGCATGGTGGTCTGCGCCTGTAGTCCCAGCTACTTGGGAGGCGGAGGTGGCAGGAAGGTTTGAGCTGGGGAGGTGGAGGTTGCAGTGAGCTGAGATTGTGCCAGTGCACTACAGCCTAGGCAGTAAAGCCAGACTTGTCTCAAAAACATAAAGTCGGCATATAAATTATGATTCTTAGTCTCACTCTAGAAGGCTATGAGTAGTCTCTTGAGCCAAAAAGAAGATGATTATAAGGAAAATCAAGACCTTTGCATTGGAAAGAGATCATCTTGTCCAACCACTGCCTTTGAAATGGAGAAAAGAAAAATGGATGGTCACTATCACTACTTATATTAATATTATACTAGGAATCCTACCCATTTCAACAAAGAAAAAAAGGGCCAGGCACAGTGACTCACGCCTGTAATCCTAGCACTTTGGAGGCCAAGGTGAGTGGATCACCTGAGGTCAGGAGTTCAAGATCAGCCTGGCCAACATGATGAGACCCTATCTCTACTAAAAATACACAAATTAGTGGTATGGTGGCATGTGCCTGTAATCCCAACTACTCAGGGGCCTGAGGCAGAAGAATCGCTTGAACCTGGGAGACGGAGGTAGCAGTGAGCAAAGATCATGCCACTGCACTCCAGCCTGGGTGACAGAGTGAGACTCTGTTGAAAGAAGAGAGAGAGAGAGAGGAAAGGAAAGAAGGAAGGAAGGAAGGAAGGAAGGAAGGAAGGAAGGAAGGAAGGAAGGAAGGGAGGAAGGAAGGAAGGAAGGAAGGAGAAAAGAGAAAAAGAGGAGAGCAGAGAAAGAAGAAAGAGAGAGAAAGAGAAAAGAAAGAAAGAAAAAGAAAGAGAGGAAAAGAAAGAAAGGGAAGGATGAAGGAAGGAAGAGAAAGAGAGAAAGGGACTTAAGTTTGGGGAAGATGAGACAAACTGTTAAATATGTACAGGCAATATTATTGTTTAAATAGAAAATCCAAGTTATTAGACCACGTAAAAGAGTTTAGCACAATTGCAGGGTACAAAGTAAACGTGCAAATCACAAGTTTATTTCAACAGATGAGCAATAAACATTGAGAAAATAAAAAATTTTAAAGTGATCATTTACATTTGCAACACAAATGAAGTATTTATGAATAAGTCCAATAAAATATATGCTTATTTTGTATAAAATATTAAACTTTATTGAGAGACATTAAATAATGCACTAATAAATGCAAACATACTATATTTATGGATGAATGAGTCTATATTGTAAATATGCCATTTTCCCCAACTTTATCTGTAGATTCAATGCATCACAATCAAAATCCCAACACATTTTTGCATGTAGAATTTGGTAAGCTTATTATAAAATTCATATGAAAGTGCAATAATTATAAGAACAAGGTGATGGAATTGCCCTACCAGGTATCATGACTTATTATAAAGCCATAGTAATTAAAAGAGCATGACATTAGCATAGCCATAGAGAAACAGATTAATAAAACAGAAGAGAGAGACATGAACAGACTCACACATATATGGATACTTGATATATGACTGACTGTTGATTATAGGGCAGTGGGAAAAAGACTTTTTAAGAAATGATACTGTAGGGAAAAAAGAGCTAAAGGGGAAAAAAATGAGCCTCTACTTCAAACCACATACCAAAATCTCTTTAATTTGGAATAAACAGCTAAATGTGAAAAGTAAAACTATATACCTTTTAAAAAAGGAGAGAAGCAAACACTTTTGTGGTCTCAGAGCAAGAGTTCTTAAATGACATATAAAAGTAAGGAAATAGCTGGGCACGATGGCTCACACCTGCAATCTCAGCACTTTGGGAGGCTGAGGTGGGTGGACTACCTGGGGTCAGGAGTTTGAGACCAGCATGGCCAACATGGTGAAACCCTGTCTCTACTAAAAATACAAAAATTAGCCAGGCATGGTTGCACACACCTATAATCACAGCTACTCGGGAGGCTGAGGCAGGAGAATTGCTTCAACCCAGGAGGTGGAGGTTGCAGTGAGCTGAGATTATGCCATTGCACTTCCAGCCTGGGTAGCAAGAGCAAAACTCCATCTCAAACAAATAAATAAATAAATAAATCGGTCCATGAAGTAGATAGGTATTAAAATTAAGCACCTCTGTTTATCAAAAGTTATTATAAAAGTTGGTAATATTAAATTGTTTAAAATATTTTTAGGTGTCATACTGGTATTGTGGTTATGTTATGAAGAGAGATAAATTTTGAGATAAATCCTCAAAATTTTTTGATGAATAGTGTTTTAGATTTGCTTAAAAATGAAGCTAGAGGAGCAGAAGTTGGAAAGGTATAAGCAAAACAAGATTGTCCATGAAATTATAATTGTTGAAGCTGAGTGATAGGTACAAGGAGATTGATTATATTATTCTATCTACTTTTGTATATGTTCGGAATTTTATCATAAATAACTTTGTGAGAGAGAGAAGACTGAGGAGGGACTATAGAGAGATGAAAACAAACCACAGACTGGAACTACACATATAACCAATGAAGGCCTAATACCCAGAATATAGAGAAAACTAAAAATCAAGGGAAAAACAGTTTTTCAAAGGTGACAGACTTGAACAGACAAGTCTGAAAAGTGGAAATGCAAATAGGCAAGAAACAAACAAACAGCTCAACTTCATTAATAATCTGGGAGATAAAAATTTAAACCACAATAAGGTACCATTTTGTATCCCCCAGATTGGAAAAATTAAGTCTGTAACGCCAAGAGATGACAAGGATGCAGATGCCTCTGGGAGTATAAATTGGTACAGCCAATGTGGAAACCAACTGGATTTGATCTAGCAATGTTAAAGACCATGTCACCCAGCAACTGTATTGCTAAACACCCTAGGGCAACCCATGCATGTGTGCGCCAGAGACAAGAAAACTTCCAACAATGTCGGTAAGGACCAAACACCGGGACAACTCAAATGTCCATCAACGGTAAGATGTATAAACTGTGAGCTTGTATAGTATATGAAATCTCAGCAGTGAAAATACATGCAATGAAATAGGTCCATGTAGCTATACTGACCAAATGAAGTGAATCATAAAAGAATGCATACAGTATATTTATTTCCAAGTTTAAAAAATAGACTAAACTAGTGGGTTAAACTATATGAAGCTGTATGAAATTGCGGATATTCAGCTATGTTTCTCTTATAAATGCCGCTTATTATTCACTCTAATACTGTTTAGGGTGCATGCATAAATGGTAAAACCATTAAAAAAAAAAAAAGCAAGGTTGAATCAGACTTTTTCTGATTAACAGAAAAGTTAGGATAGTGTTACCTCTGAAGGAAAGAAGGCAGATTTGACTGGGGAAGGATCTGTGGTTTTGGTAGTGAGGAACTTAACAGGTACTTGTGATGTTCTAGTTTATTTATTTATCTCATGGGTGGTCAAAAAAAAAATTTGCCTTGTTTATTTATTTAATTTTATTTTAGAGACAGGACTTTGCTCTGTTGCCTAAGCTGGAGTGGCATGATCATGGTTCACTGCAGCCTCCAACTACTGGGCTCAAGTGATACTCCAGCCTCAACCTCCCGAGTAGCTGGTATCACCAGCACGTGCCATCACGCCCAAGTAATTTTTTATGTTTTGTAGAGATGGTTCTTGCTGTGTTGCCCAGGCTGGTTGTGAACTACTGGGCTCAAGCGATCCTGCTGCTTGACCTCCCAGAGTACTGTGATTACAGGCGGGAGCCTCCATGCCCAGCTAATATTTGCTTTATAGTTCTACTTTAAACTATGCATGTGTTTTATGCATTTAAAATGGTTTTATTTTTTGAATAAAAAGAGGGAATAAAACTGTAGATGCCGATTCTGAACTCAGGGCACACTAGCCA